TTCTGATGCATGACGATGCCTCGATGATGCAAAACAGGAATATAAAAAAGTGAAAGAGTTTGTAGAGAAAATTCAAGCCAATCTTGCGTGTGTTGAACAACAGCTAGCTGCCTTGGTCTCCAGAAAGAAGAAAATCGTCGCGCTCTTGGATAAACAACAAGTTAAGTTGGCTAAAAGTCAAGAGAATATTGACATTACCGAAGAGGAGATTTATACCATTGAAGCCAATCATCCATTATCTGATGATGAAGCAGAGAAATTATCCCTCATGAAAGGGGCAGTTGAGACAAGCCACCAACAAATCTTTAGCTTCAAACCTTTTCCATGATTTTAGAGTTTTTTTTGCTTAGGATTCTCGACTTACGATTTTTTTATAACTAATATCATGTAATGGAATACTTATTTCTTGGGGCAATAAAAGTATCTTTATTTTTTTAGTATGTGACATCTCTCTTTGAGACCTGGATTCCCTCCGTTACTCTCAATTATTTCTTTCTTAAATTTCAGCACATGTCTTGTGTGTTGGCTTTGTTTCTTCGCGCGCTCTTGTTAAAGAAAGTCATATCTTGAGCTAGTATCGGAATTACAATCTGTTTGCACCGTTAGAAAAAAAAACTCAGATACCTGAAGTACCTATGAATTTCATGGCTGAACTCCTTTGGGGCTATCAACAAAATTTCGCGATGCCGACTTAACTACACTGAACTTTCAGATTTGCGTGCCTCCAGTAAAAATAACTGTATCTTGAGCAAGGTGTATCGTAATTTCAATCCGTTTGCAGTGTCAAAAAGTAGAATAAGAGATCTAAAACTAATATAAATTTTATAACATAACTTCTTTCGAACTGTCAACAGAAAATTCGCGAAGTCGATTCAACTGTAGTGAACTTTCAAATTTGTGTACTTTTGGTGAAAATAATTGTATCTTGAGCTAGGAGTATCGGAATTACAATCTTTTTGCGGTGTCAGAAAGTAGACTCAGAGATCCAAAACTCATATGCATTTTATAACAGAACTTCTTTGGGACTGTCAACAGAAATTTACGGAGTCGACTCAATTGCAGTGAACATTCAGATTTGCGTACTTTTGGAAAATAATTATATCTCGAGCTAGGAGTACTGGAATTACAATCCGTTTGTGGTGTCAAAAAGTAGAATCGGAGATCTAAAACTTATATAAATTTCATGGTAGAACTCCTTTAAGACTGTCAACAGAAAATTTCCAAACTTGACCTAACTGCAGTAAACTTTCAGATTCGTGTACTTTCAGCGAAAAAATCGATTGTTGAGCTTGGAGTGTCGAAACTGCAATCCATTTGTGCTGTTAGAAAGTAAACTCAGAGATCTTAAGTACCTCAAATTTCATGGCAGAACTTTTTTCTGTCTACCAATAGAAAATTCGTGAAGTCGACACAACTACAGTGAACTTTCATATTCGCATGCATATAGAAGTCTTTGCGGCATAAGACCTTCTAGATTAGTCAAAGTTTCAGATCATGTATTTCTTGACCCTTCGGAACCCAAATTAGAAATTTTTCAGTTAGGCCACATGGTGGGGGAACAATTCACATTGGATTCAACTACGCAAAGCTTTATGATAGCATCGTGTTTTGAAGAAATAAAGTGAACTTGGAAAGGCATTCAAGACAAGATAGCGACAATCTTTCGCGTCAATTGCTTTTATGTCTTAGATTCTTTGTATAGGACGAAGTATAAATATTTTCATCCTTTTAGTCTCTTGACAATGATGTATCAGATCCTTGTAGCATTGAAGCAATGAAATGTCCATTTTGGCTCAACACAAATTGCTTTCTTTCTTTCTGCAATATGCGCCTATTTGAGTAATCAACGTGATGCCTCAGCTTGAATTTTGATGATCATGTCACGTTGAAACACATCTATTTTAAAAGCTTATGCGACTGAACTTAGAATGAAACTGTAAGCTGCCTACGTACCTCGGTCAAGAGGATCAAGTCATAACGTAGTTCAAAATAAGTGAGTTTGTTTTTATATATGTCCTAAATTTTGCCTAGGCTGCCTCTTTTGAGGTTTTCAACCTAGCGGACTTTTTTTTGCCTAGGCCGCCTCTTTCAAGGTTTTCAACCTAGAAAATTTTTTTAGGTCCTAACTTTTTCTTAGACCGCCCCTTTCGGGGTTTTCAACCTAGCGAACTTCTTTTTTTTAGTGTCATTCGCAGTTTAGGCTCATGCGGGCTAGGAGCATAACAACATGCAGTTTAGACTCGTGCCTTAAGGAGCGTTTATTCTTCAATGATAGTACCTATTCAAACATTTCCCATTGATAGGGCCAATTATCATGCCATCTGCATCAACTAACTTGTAAGCTCCACTTGAATAGGCTTCTTGCACAACATATGGACCATCCGATTTTGAAGTGAATTTGCCCCCGGATTTGCGAGAGGTGATAATTGGTCTTCTTACTGCAAAAACTTAATTGCCAACTTGGAAGGACCTCAAGCGAACCTTTTTGTTGAAAGCATGTGAAAGACAAGCTTGATAACATTGAAGACTTTGTTGAGCTTCTAGCCTTTTTTCATCAAGGGACTCTAGTTCTTCAAGGCGTAAATGAGCATTTTCTTCTTCAGTAAGACCTTCTTGGATAGCAAGCCGCAAGGATGGTATCTGACGCTCAAGAGGAAGTGCTTCGACTCCATAAACAAGAGAATAAGGAGTTGCTTGTGTCGGCGTATGATGAGTCGTCCGATATGACCACAAAGCTTCTCCCATTATGTCATGCCAATCTCTTTTAGACTTGGAGACGACCTTCTTTAATAAGTTGAAAAGTATCTTGTTAAATGCTTCGGCTAGTCCATTTGCAGTAGCATAATACATTGACGAATTACGTTGCTTGAAGCCAAAAAGTTCACAGATCTTGGTCATCAATTTGTTATCGAACGATTTGCCATTATCTGTTATTATATAACTAGGAATGCCGAAACGATATATGATGTTCACTCAAATGAAGTTTGCAACATTCTCTTTCTTCATTTTCTTGAGAGCGACGACCTTGGTCCATTTTGAGAAGTAATCAGTTGCAGCCAAGATGTATAGATGTCCTCCAGAAGATTTTGGAAGTGGTCCAACAACATATAATCCCCAAGCGTCAAATGGCCAAGATGCAATAGTAGGGTGTAACATTTCAGGTGGTTGGTGTATAAAATTTGCGTGAAACTGGCAAGCCTTGCATCTTTAAGCATAATCTAAGCAATCTTTCACCATTGTCGGCCAGTAGTAACCCATCCTCTTGATGTGAAAGTGGAGCTTCGGCCTAGATTGATGTGATCCACAATCTCCAGAGTTTGCCTCTTGCATAGCTTGAGTTGCTTCATCTTCCCCTAAACAACGCAAGAGAACTCCCTCAAATGATCTTCGATACAAAGTGTCTTTGTAGTAAGGGAAGCGAGGGGCATACCGACAAATTTTGGTTTTTCTCCTTGGATCTTCTGGAAGTATCCCATAATATAAGTAGTCGATCATGGTTTGTCGCCAATCAACCTTCTCAACTTCGGCGACGACTACCAAACGCTCGAGCTTTCTTTCTTCATCCTAGTTCTCATCTGGTGGTACTATCCATTTTTGGCAGATAGTGATTTGTGTCTGGCCGGCAGAGTCAATGTCGAAGCTAGAGCAGCTAAGGCGTCAGCTTTCTTGTTTTCCTTCCTTCGCACATGCTGAAGAGTTACATTGCCAAGACATCCAATCGATTTCTGCGCATAATCATGATAAAGATGCAATTCTGGATTTTTGACCTCGTAGCTACCTAGCAATTGATTGATCACTAACTTAGAGTCTCCAAAAATATGTAATTGGAGTTGTCTCATATCAACGGCCATCTCAAGACCAAGTATGAGTGCTTGATATTCCGCAACGTTGTTAGTGCAGTGTTGTGTTAAGGTGAATGAATATGGCAAGACTTCTCCTTGAGAAGTGACAAACACAACACCTGCACCAGCTCCTTCATGATGTACGCACCATAAAAATACATTTTCCATGGTGGGTGCACTTCGATGATCATTGCATCCTCATCAGATAATTCATCAGTCAACTCCCAATCATCAGGTATTGGATGATCTACCAAGAAATCTGCCAAAACATGCCCTTTCACAAATTTTTATGGGATGTATACAATCTCGAATTGTTGAAATTGGAGGTACCACCTTGCTAATCGATCATTGAGGACGAGTTTTGACATAACAAACTTGATTGGGTTTGCCATTGAGACGAAACGGATAACATGAGCTTGAAAGTAGTGCTTTAGCTTTTGAATTGCGAAAACCAATGCCGGACACAAATTTTCAATCAGAGAATACTTCATCTCGTTTGGGGTCATCATCCTACTCAAGTAGTAGAGGGAATTTTCTTTACTTTCACCATTTTCTTGGGCCAAAAGGGCTCCAACTGACCTTTCTTGGGCAGCAATATATAGAATAAATAGCTTTTATTTGTATAGAGGATGCCAGAACCGAAGGTTTCATCAAGTAGGATTTGATGCTTTGGAATGCGTTGCTACAATCTTGGTCCCATTCAAAAGGTACACCCTTCTTCATGAGACAGCTAAAAGGTTGGCACTTCCCTGCTAGATTTGAGATGAATCTTCAAAGGTACACCAATTTTCCTTGTAGACTTTTCAGTTCATGTATATTTCTGGGCTCGGGCATCTTCAAGATTGCATCAACTTTGGCTTGATCTATCTCAATCCTTCGATGTCGAACAACGAAGCCAAGGAATTTTCCATGTAACTCCAAATTCACATTTCAATGGGTTCATTCTAAGTTGATATCTCCGGAGTCGTTAGAACACATTCTTAAGTGTTGCAAGTGGTCTCTTCTCTTTCTTGATTTCACCACTAAATCATCCACATAGCATTCCATATTCTTGTGGAGGATGTCGTCAAAGATATTCTGCATTGCCCTTTTATATGTGGCACCAACATTCTTCAAGCCAAAAGGCATTACTTTGTAGCAATAAATGCCTTTAGGAGTTCAAAATGCAGTAAGCTCTTCATCTTTCGGTGCCATACGTGTTTGATTGTAGCCGGATGATCCATCCATGAAAGACATCGCCTCAAATTCGGTGGTGGCATCGATCATAAGCTCCGGGATGGGGAGCAGAAATTCGTCTTTAGGGCATACATTATTGAGGTCTCTATAATTGACACAAACTCGAATTTGTCCATTCTTCTTCTTCTTCACAGGAACAATGCTTGAAATCCATGGAGGATATTTAACCTCCCGAATGAAACCGGCTCCGATGAGTTTATTGACCTCGGCTTTGATTGATGGGATCAATTCTGGCCTGAAGCGTCTTTGGGCTTGCTTAACAGGACGAGCTCCTTTCTGGACCGCGAGATGATGAACTGCTACTTTAGGATCTAAACCAGGCATCTCTTTGTAGCTCCAAAGAAAAGACATCTCTATATTCTTTAAGTAGATCAACATAAGTGCTTTCTTCATCTGTGGTTAGTAGGGCACTTACATAGGTGGACCTGGAGTCTTCTGTAGTGCCACGGTTGACTTCTTTCAATGAATCAACTGTCATTTTAATTCCTTCTTCTAGTTCTGGAGGAGCGTCCTCAACATCTTCGTCTTCTCGGGGATCAGCATCATTAAAAGAAATATGGCCACACCAAGAGGCATCTCCCAAATTTTCGTCGACCTTCCTTAGAAATGAAGTGTATTGCTCCTCATTCGCAATAATGTGATATGAAGATCCTACACTTTCTTCATCTTCGTCACGCTGTCTAGTGTGGACCACTGTGCGAGTCTTCACTTTGAGTACCTCTCCACATGAAATCAAAAGTTCTGATTGTCGCCTCATTCTAGAAGGGATCAATTTTTGACACTCTTTGGAGATGCTTTGGACTCTAGATGGCAAAGGTCTTCTAATTTTTTCATAATTTCTTTGGGACTTGTTCTTCTTCCTTTTCAATGGCCCAACCTCTCAAATACAGAAGTTCTTGTAGTTGGTTCTCCAAGTTGATCAAAGACAGAAGGCCTTTTATTAGGATCAGCGGGTTCATCTTCCATCGTGATATAGTTACTGCTTGCTCTTCTAATGGAGATGCGAAATGGTGGGGGTTGTTTGTAACCCAGACCCTCACGTGATTGCATTACCACATGATCCTTATCCTTCGTCGTGGTTGCTTTCCTAGTAGCTTCAGGTGGGAGCTTCCCTAGCTTAGATGGTTCGTTGGGATCATATCTAGCCTTGGCGAACAACCTGTAAGCATTCAGATCAAAACCTTCATTTGTGGTTTTCGTGGGCAGTGCCTTATTTTGAAGCACGTTAGGGGCCACAAACTTTTCCAGTAGCTTTGAAGATAACTTTATGGTATCAATCTGCTTGATAGGAAGGGTTAATTCTCTTAGTGCATCTTTTTGGAGGCTTGATAATTCTCCTTCATCTTTCTTCACTTTTGGGACGTAACAAAGTAAAGGAGCTATATTGTTGCCTGCAGTTGCAACATTCTTTTTGAGAGCTTTCGAAACTTGGTATGTTTCTATTGTAACTTTATCTTCACCAGAAGCTACTTCAGCCTTTTTGGACACGATATTATCACCTTTGGCCTTCGTGATGTCATCAACTTTTACTCCTTTCACGATGTGGTTCTTCAAGTAGAATTTTGCATCAGTGAAGTATGCCTCGGCTTCAGCGAACGACTTGTCATCAACAACTATCTTCTTTCGACTCCATCTTTATTATATTTCAAACATTGGTAGTAAGTTGATGGGACAACTTTGTTCTCGTGTATCCACGGCCTGCCAAGCAACAAATTGTAAGTCTTTGCATCAATCACATGCCTCCATGCAGTTGATTGCATATCTCCCATGGTGATTTCTAGTTTGATAGCTCTTATGGCCCTTTGTCCCCTTTGATTGAATCATCAGTCGGCTTTCATAAAGTTCTTCAGTTGAGATTTCGAGTTCTTTCATTATGCAAATGGGAAGAATGTTAACTGCAGATCTGTCATCTATCAAGATTTTGTTTATCCTCCACTCGAGCACATAACCCACCATAAACAAAGGGAGATTGTGTGGCGTCTCACCAAGTATGAGATCGTCTTCAGTGAAGGTGATTTTTGTATTACAGACATCTACTTCTTGGAAGGAGGACTCAACAAGACTATTAGACAATAATGGAGACGGTGTTGATGTGACTTTGTTCTTTTCCTCTTTTTCTTTATAAACATTACAACACAATGCTTTGTCATCATCGTCCGTCCTCATGCGAAACCAACTCGGCAAGAATTCTCCCAAAGTCATTGGGTGGCGTGGCTTTTGGTGATAGTGTGTCCCTATTCCCACCTTCTTTGGGTTGTTATTTGTTGCTTCTTTGGTCTTCTCACCATCTTATTCCTCGTAGGTTTCTTCATTGATCCTTTTTGCGGACTCATTTTACGGCGTCTTCGACGAGTCACCAGGGCCCATCCTTCCTCATCAGGTTGATCAACTCGGACTTTGTCATCCTCTAATAATTCTTCATCTTCAATCTTTTCACAGGTGCATATCTCAATCGGATCGAATGAGCCAAAGGCAATGGACACATGGTTTGTGCTCGCCTTTTCGTCTTCAAGCTCGATCTTCTTTTGATGAGCCAAATCCATAACTTTATCCTTGAAGACAAAGCACTTCTCAAGAGGATGACCTACAAGCTGATGGTATTTGCAGTAATTCGGGTCATTGCTTTTTCCAGCTTCATCTGGCTGCTTCATCTCTGGCAGCTCAATAAGCTTTAGCTCGAGGAGTTCTTCAAATATTTTAGGCACATCAGAGTTTAGAAATGGGTACTCCTTTTCTTGCATTTCTTTGAGAGTCAACTTCTGATTTGCATTGCCTTGAGAGGAAGTTGTTTTCATACTCTGTTTCTTGCTCACATTGGTTGTAAACTTCAAAGGAAAGACATTGACGCTCATGGATTCTTTGCTTTTATTCTTGGGTACGAACTTGCTCCATTTCCTTACTTATTGCTTATCTCTTACCTTGCGAAGTTCGTAGATGGGCAGCACTTCTTTTCCTGCAGAAGCCTTGCTCAACTCCATATCATGAGCACAGGTGGAAGTTCTTCAAATGTCCTGGGCTTAATTCCTTGCAAGATGTAACGAAGTCCCCAATGTATTCCTTGGATGCACATCTCTATGCCAGAAGCTTCGCTTAGCCTATCTTTGCAGTTAAGGCTTGCATTCATCCATCGGTTGACAAAGTCAATAACTAGTTCATCTTTTCATTTGTGAGTGTTCGTAAGCTCCACCATGCTCACAGTACGCCTCGTTCTATAGAAGCGATTCAGAAACTCTTGCTCCAATTGGTCCCAACTATCAATGGATCCATCCTCGAGGTCAGTGTACCAATCAAAAGCATTCCCCTTTAGTGAGCGGATGAGCTGCTTGACAAGGTAATCTCCATAAGTCCCTGCGTTGTTTCATGTCTCAACAAAGTGCGCGACATGTTGCTTTAGATTTCCCATGCCGCCAAACTGCTAAAATTTGGGAGGTTGATAGCCGGCAGACATCTTCAAGCTATCGATTCTTGCAGTATATGGCTTTGAATACGTGAGAGAAGACTTTGAAGCGACCTCATACTTATCTTTGATAGTTCCCATAAGGAATTCCTTCAATTGTTCGATGGGAATTGATCCTTCGGAGGAGACATGAAGTTCTTTGGTGGATGACACTTGTTTTGTTGGAGGAGCAGCCTTCTCGTGGACTTCAGGGAGCTTTCTAGGTGCATGACTTGATTCTCCTCCATCATGCTTTCAACTATGCCTGTCAATTTTGCGATACGGACATCTTGATCTTGAGCATACTTTGTTAAGCCATCAATTGCCTTTGTCAGGTTTGCGAGTTGCTCCTCCATTGTCGAAGTGTTAGTCATCATTGCCTCCATAATTATTGCAGATGATGAAGAATAACCGAGACCTTCCCACAGATTGAACTTAGTTTGGAACATGTCATGTGGCGAGGTTAGCGTAGAGCCAACACTTAAAACTTCATCATCAGGTTGGATAACCTGACTCTTGGTATTGTATAAAGTAAGTTGAGCAAGAGCTTTCTCCACAACTTCTGCAATATTATCTCTTCTCTCTGATTTGCTAGCAGAGGGCCTATCTTATTCGGATGATGAAGATCTCAATGCATGCATTGGTGCAGATGACACTTGGAGTGCTTGTTATCCGAAGACGCTCGCCTTGCTTCGGGTGATTAGACCAAGACTCCCCAGAGTAGCGTCCGGGATACTTTCAACATCAGAAGAAAACTTGGAGTTAGCAACTTTTGAGTCGATCATCTTTCAAACCATCTTAGTGATCTTGAATGTTGAGAGTTCAAAAGAGATGAGAGATAGAGATAGTCCCACTAGGCGTGCCAAAATTTGTAACATCTAAATTTCGCTCCTGAAAATGATAATCAAGACAAGAAATATAGCGACAAATATTGTATTCGATTTCAAGTGATAGGGTTACAATCTCTAAAATATCTCTAAATCTAAAGAGATGTAGTCCTTTGATTCTTCTCCTCACGGACAATGGTTTAGGGGCTTGAGAGCTTGATCTTGAACTTGACGATTTCAGATTTGGGTTATCATGAACGCAAGATTTGAAGCCGCCCGCCTTTGGAATTTGACCACAGACGACGATTGCAGATATGGATGGTGACCTTGATGCTATTCTTCAAAGCTTCTTTGATAGAAGACCATTTGACGGGCTAGCCCAATAATACATTGGACTATTATTTAAATCAGTTCATTTTAAATTTAAATAATCGACCCTATTATACTAGCCCATAGTATCATTTGGACTAATATGTATTTAATATATGATGAAATCCAAATTACTTGTGGATTTAAATTTAATAAACTTTTATTTGTCTATTGATAGGTTAAAAGTACTTTGGTTATAAGTACTTTACTTTATGTTTTGATGATCTAACAAACTAACTATCCAGAACCAAATAAGGAACCTGTTACACATTCACAAGAGCTCAAGATCACAAGGTTCCAGGTTGGGATTCAGTGTGGAATATGATTCAACTCCTCAGAGTGGAAGGAACAACTGAGGGACCAGGTCCCTACCAGTTCCTGAGGAGACTGTACGAAGTCAACTCTCTAGCTGGAAAGTTGCTGCCTGCACACGACAGTGCAGGAACAGTGTTGCAGTCAACTTTCCAGGGAAGACTTTTTACCTACCTTGCTTGCATCATTACATGTAATGTCACACATGTATATATGCATTCAAGGGAGGTAAAACAAAGTACTTGAACACTTAGAGATCTCACTCAAGCTCACTCACGTGACCATCTAGCAAACACGTGTCAAGTGCTTCAAGAACAAAGAACAAAACAACTACGGAACAGTTCCCACATAGAGTCATTGTATGTCCTAGTTGAGTAATAACTTTGCAAAAGTTCATTAATTGTAATTCCTATCTAGCTTGTTTAGAAGCATTCTATAGGAACCCAATTGTAAACCTTGAACCTATGTGTTTAAGTCTTGGCTAGAGTTAGTCAAGATTCAAAGTCTTTGCAATAGAGTTATTGCAAAGTGGCTTGTAACAGGTGTGTTACAAGTTAGTGAGGGATTAAGAGTTTAATTCCTAGGTTGTATATGTTGTAATTTGCAAGTTGCTCAGTAGTGAAATTGAAATCCTACAAGGTTAGGTCGTGGTTTTTAATCCCGTTGAGCTGAGAATTTTCCACGTAAAATTCCTCCTATCATTTAATTTTTGCTGTGCGTGTGTGTAATGTCGTACTTGATAGAGAACCTGGTTCTCTATAGAAGTTGTTGGACCCTTACATTCTAATATTCTATCAATTGGTATCAGAGCAG